AATTATATAAATTTTATATAATCGAAGTTTGGTTTTTCCTTAACATTACCTATTTATTTAATAAACATACCCAATTATATTTAAAATATGCACTATACATGTCATATGAAATATTTGAGGTAGAGGCCTGCGTTGGGTCTCGCAGCCCGGCCCGGCCCAGCCTGGCCCACAAATTTTTGCAGGCCGGGCTGGGCCTGAAGCAAAATTTTATAATTGTGGGCCAGGCCAGGCCGAAAAATTTGCAAAATTTTATAATTGCGGGCCAGTGCAGGCCTAAAAATTTGTAAATTTATATAAGAAATTTTTGCGGACTGGGCCGGGTTGGGCCAGGCTGAAGAAAAAATTTGACATATGCAGGCTGGGCCAGGCTGGCAAAAAAATGATAACCCTAAATGTGGGCCAGGCCGAGCCTAAAAAAAATTTTTAACTCTAATTGTGGGCCGGGCCAGGCCTCAAAAATAGGCAATTTGCAGGCCCCTAATTTGAGGCATTACAGGTTTTAAAATAATTTGAAAACACTTTTTCATATATGATGCCGAATCTGAGACAAAAAGTCGAGGAATATTAAATGGAATTGACCATTCAACTAAAGTTTGAAGAATGATTTGCCCCATTGTTGTATTGTTAACTTCATTAATAAAATCTACTAAAACTAATCTAGTTACATTTTTGTAATTAAACAAAACATTAACTATGCTTCTAGCACAATCATCTGTAGTTTCATCAACTATTACTGCAACTGGTTTGCCAAAAAATTCTGATTTAATGGTCACAATATGCATTTCATATACTGGCTTTAAATATTTCCATCTTAAAACATCAGCCGAAGGAATAGAACCACCATTATGAAGATTATCCTTAAGCCATGGACACAATTTGTCAACCTTTTCTAATGGAATGTTTGCACTTACAAATGCCTCAACTAAGTCAAAAATTGTTTGCTTTTTTTTTTCTATGACACTAATTGCAGTATGTATTGTTGATTGCTTTGATATTATTCCACGTCGTTCTTTTGCAGCCTTATTGGCAATATGCTTTGCACTATTAATATGAGTTGTAATAGTTGATTTTACTTCATAATTAACAGATATGTCACAAAATCGACACATCAAAGTTCCATGATCAGCAAAAAAATGTTCATGAAACTCATTTGCATGTGTTGAGGCAGTAATTTGACGTGAAGGTGGCATTAAAAAAAAATTTGATACTAAAATATTATTAGCTTATGATTTGTAATAGAGCTATTATAAAATTAAAGTTTCAAAAACTTACCCAAATATCGTAAAGAAAAAAAAAAAAAAAACTTTACTAATGTTTGTCAGTTTATTACAAAAGTACAACAATTTACTAGTGTTTGCTAGTTTATTATAAAAGCACAATGATCTATTTTTTAAAATAGCTAAATGTGCTTGGAATGAACGCACTGGAAACAGTGCTTGGAATACTAAAAATTTGTCTTTGATAGATTGCTTATTATTATCTCTATTGATTTTACATGTTGTTATACAAATAAATAGAAAATATGATTGGTGGGATAAAATAACTAACCAATCATATTTGTAGTGTAGTAGTGTAACATCACATGTATAAAAAAACCGAAAAATTGTTTTATAATGTGATATTCAGTAAAAATTGTGATTTATTGTTTTCTAATCTTTTTGAAATTTTTCCGGGTCCCTGGACTAGACCTATGAAACAAAGCTAGAACTTGTAAAACTAGACAAATATGCTGGTTTTTAAGAAGGGACCAGATGAACCAACTAGGTTACCAAAATTGTCAGATTCTGGAAAAAAAAGTTACATGTTAGCAAATATGTAAACCAGAAGTGTATAGTTTTAACTTGCCTTTCCAAGCTATCTGGTTTGGCAACTTGGTAGAACTTGAATTGAATACCAAAGTAGTAGGAATATGTTATGAAATCAGTATCAAGATTGGGATAAACTCTATAAAGGCATAGCAGTTTAATGATATGTCCTGACTGCCAGTTTTGGTCTTGGCTATAGCAATACCAGGTTAGCTATAAGAATAAGATATAGAAGATTCTAAAAGGTTTAGTACAAGGTCAAAGGTTCCTTATGTGAATAAATGCTTTAAAGACTTAGTGGCTATAGCATATTTTCATCAGCATCAACCAAGGTCATTGGCAGGCAGAAGTAAGTAGATAGATATAGAAACAGAGTAGTTAAATAAGGAATCTACAAGCAGGTTCCAGGTATGGCAACTAGTATAAAACCTTCAGGCAGACTACTTAAATTAGACAATGACTAAAGTTGTATGAGTGGCTAGTTGTACACTCTTTCTATAGTTGCTCTTTATAGTTGTAAAGCATCTATTAGCCAAATATACTATTAATAAAATCCTGGATCACAAGTACTCACCTTAATATTTAAAAAAATAAAAAAATAAAAAAATAACAATAAGCCAGATCATATATATAAATAATACAGTAATATTCCAAAATTAGGATACCTTTTGCAGTTAACAAGAATGTCAGAAAAAATGATTAACAAGTCTATCAGCTGATAATATGTTTGGAAAAACATAAATGCAATATGATGAAAACAACAAATAACTGCATAATTGAGTACAAAGATCTAAAAAATTATAAATCACTAAGTCAAGAAATAGCAACAAAGTAAATAAGCAGTTTATTTGTAAAACTTAATAGAAAAGACATATTAGGTAATCTAAAAAGCTTAGGATAGCTCAAGGGTGTCAAAAAGCAAGCTTAATAAAAAACATTTGGAACTTTAAAAAAAGATCAGAGAAATGAAGTATTGAAAACACAACTTAGCTTATTGAACAATTGTCAAAGCAAGAAAAATGAGAATAAATATTAGAGCAGAAAATTATTTATGAAAAGTACATAGTTATAGAATAAGTATAAGAGACTTAGTTAAAGTTAAATCATGAACAGCAAGTAGTAGCACAATAAATAAATAGGTTTAATATATCTGAACCAACTTATAAACATAAAAGGAAAAAACTCAATCATATAGAAACAGCTCAAAAGTCTTTTAGGACTATCATGCAAAGAAAAAAAAGCTAAATAGTTTAGTAAAATAGAAGAAATGATGTTAATATCATAGACAAGTAGAAAAATACACAACCAATACAAGATTAAAGATTACAACACATAGATACTAACAATTAACTAAACAAAGATATCTGAAGACAAAAAGAAGAAAGATGGATTGTATATAGACCAAAGCACAATTAGCAACTTAGTAAGATATTAAAGAAGAAAAAAAAAAGATTTTAGCTAAGCATTGACTATTACAGAAAGTAGAAGGCAAGACATATATTGAGATAAATAAATACAAAGGGTGTGAAAACAAAACAGAACAAATAACAAATAATTGTAAAAAATGAATAAAATGGAACAATAATTTAAAGGCAGTTCCAAAAACATTAGTAAAGAAAGGCAGTAACAAGATTAATACAATATTAGAACAAATGCTAGAGAACAAAACAATAAAAAAATAGAGAAAAAAAAAAAAAGTCTAATTAAACTAAAACAAGTAAAATAATTAGAAACAGAATTAATCAAGAAACAAAATTTTAATAGTAAAGTTACAGATTATATAATAGAAGTTCTAATAAGAAACAAGAGAAGAAACAAAGACAAATATATCTTTTATACAGATAAAGCATTATATAAAGAAAAAAAGAAAAATAGTATAGTAAAGATGAACATTGGTTGGGTGCAGGTTAGCAACAAAGAAAACTGACCAGAAGAAAAAATGATACTAAAACTTAAAGTTTGATTTTCAATAACAACAGCAGAATTAGTAGCAATATAATTAGCAATTCTAACTATACTAGAAGGAAAGTGTATAGAAGTGCATACAGATTGCCTTGCAGCATTAAGGTACATTAACAGAGCAATTCAAGTAATAGAAGATAACAAAGTCTTAAAAAAGAAAAATATAATATGAATAATGAATATTGTAGATTTACTCAAAAGCAAGAACAATAGAATAGAACTAGTTAAGGTTATAAGTTATAGTAATAATAAGTAGAATAATAAAGCAGATCTGTTTGCAAAAAAAGAAGCAATATGTAGAAAGACAATATTTACAGAAAAGATCAAGTGTAACAAAATAGAATAACACTTAGAATGAAAAAACAAGAAAGTTGATATATTAACAAAACTTCTTTACAAAATAGTCACAAATGCCAGAATTAAAACTAGTTGAAGAGAAACAAATCCAATTCAAGCACTGAAGCCAGAAACTGAAAACATTTGATATAATTGATCAAGGTTTTGAAAAAAAATGAATAGAACAAAGAGTATATATTGCACAATAAGTAAACTTAGTACAAGAAGTGTAACAGTAATTAAATATATAATAGATAGCCTACCAATACTAGAAGAATTAAATAGAAGAAGACCAAAAATATATACAATAACTGACTGCCAAGTATATCAAAAAGATAAAAAAGAAACTTAAGTATTCCTAGCAAGCTGCATCAAACAAAAAAGTTTATAAAAGAGGATCCAAAAGATAGCAATAACAGTAGTATGAAATAGCCTTAAAAAAATAAAAAAGTTAGAATTCTGTTTCTAGTACTATATAAGGCACTATTTAGAAAAACAGAAACAGAAGAAATTACTAATAGAACAGCTTTAATAAAAAGGCTAATAACAAACAAAGTTGAAAAAAGAATCAGTCAAATTCTAGATAGACAAGCAATACAAAAATGCATAGATATAGTAACAAGAACAGTATAGAATACATTCTATGGCCAAGTATAGAGAGTCTGATATAAAAAAGTACAAGAATAAGAAAAGAAGATTAATATAACAAGCAAAATAAAAAAAAATACTTGAATTAAAAGAAGATCAAAGAAAAGAATAAAGAAGAATAAGTTGACAAAAGAAGAAGAAAAGAAAATAAAAATGAAAAAAATGAATTAGATGAAGAAAGAAGCTTGGAAGACAATTGATATGCTTGTTACAAAAAAGAAAGTGATGCTAGATTTGAGTATTGGGAAATTCTATGTAATTATAAATATAAATAGTTTCAAGAATCTTAATAAAGTATTAGCATAACTGCTTAAGGTTAAAAAAAAAATTATAAATCTTATACTGTATACAAATTAGTAAATCTTATAAATGACAATTAATTTGCAAAAATCAAATGCAATTTAAAATAAAACAACAAAAAAAATTTTAAGCCAAGATTTTATTTTGTATAGAACTTATTTTTTTCAGTATTAAACTTTTATAATATGTAATGCCAAAGTTTTAGTATAAAAGAGTAATAGATTATTAATATTTTGTAAAGAAATCATAATGAATATTTCTGATAAGTTTAATTCTTTATTTGATAAAGATGAAGAAAGTGATAATAATAATGCCAAATTATTAGCTTCTACACCTACTTAAACTTTATTTATTCTAAATTTAAATATTATTAAAAAGAAAAAAAAATCAAAAAGTTTTATTTAGAACTTTTTTAACAAATATATAGATCAAGATAAACAAGCTAAAAAGTTTGAAAGATATGATACAAAATATTTGTAAAAAGAATCTACTACTAATTTAATAAACCATTTTTATGATGTATATTAAATTACTAAGGAGTCATTTAAAAATAAATCATTAAAAGTTAAGTAACAAATGATTCAATAAGTAATTTTAAGACTCTACTCTTTTTATATTTAAAAAAAACTCTCATATAAACTTGTATGTTATATAATTACACATGCTGAATCTATTTATATTATTGAAAATAATAATTTTAGGCTTTAGTCAAAAAGTCTTGATTCTTGGTTTGAAATGCCATATGTTAGTACAATCAAAAGCATTATATTTAACTGCTACAAATCTGCAATAGAACAAAATTATAGATCTTATCTTAAAGACATCAAATACAGTTTTTTTAACCTTTAATATTTGGATGTTATAAATGCATAATAGCTATCTTGGAGTTATTTGCCACTGGCTCACAGATTTATTAAAGTTGCACAAAGTTATACTTAATATAGAAGAATTGAACAAATATCTTGCATCTAATATTATTAAATCAGTTAATTTGGTTTATAATAAATTTAATATTAATTATCAAAAGATCTTTTCTATTACTACAAACAATGCTTTAAATATCAAATCTGCATTGCAACAATTGGGTATTACTAATGTGAAATGCACTAAATATACATTTTAATTAAATGTTAATTTGG